CAACGCAAAACGTTACGAGATGTCTCGTGTGTGCATTGAAAATGGCAGGCAGCTGGAAATCATAGACCCGCAAACCATAACAATGACATTGCATTTCAATGGATGGGACGATAGATTGTCGGCTAAAGAAAATATTGCTTGCTACTCGGGGCTTGGCTTGATAGTTTTTTTTAAGCGTAGACGCACTTGCCGTTGTCGCACTTGAAGCCAGGGTCGCAGGCGTCGATAAAGAGGCTGGTGGCAGGGTTGAAGCACTGGCCGCCAGTCGGGACACGGCAGGCGTACTCGCCACGAGGGCAGTACTGGCCTGAGGGACAGGCCTGGTAGCAAACACCACCATCGGGGCTCTGTTCGACGGTGTGCACACGAAGGTGGACGGTGGCCTGGTCCTCGGCGGTCGTCGACTAGAACAGGCACGCAGTGGCGGCAAGGACGGTAGTAAACACGGTTGAGAACTTCATGATGTTGAGCTATCGTTTGTGACTCCCGGCTTGCAATCCAGCAATCCATGGGGGTGATAGCATGCAAGAAAGAAACGTTGCAAGTGGAGCTAGCTCGACACAAGGATCTCACGAAACAACTCAACTCGGTCCGGTATCGACACATAGCGCGACACTATAACGCAGCGGCTGATTCCCTCGCTACAGAAGCACTGGAAGCTAAAGCTGGACGAGTAATTCTCGGGACGGGTAGGAAAGCAGAACTGAGAATGATTAATCGAGTAGCCGAAGAACTGTACGCCACAGACAATCCAGCGGAAACCCCGATTGTCACGGCAGTCACTCGTAGTCGAGTACGCCGAGTTCATTTTGAGGACGAGCTGGATGAAGACTCGGCTAGAGCAAGAGGGGGAAGTCAGGATCACGAAGCCATATCAACAAATCCTGGAGAATCTGCGTTTGAAAGCAGTGGAGATGATTTCGAACAAGTCAGCAGGGCGTCGACTCGGCGGACTAACCACACGACCCCGAATGTCGAAACAGGGTCACAGATGGAGTCAGCCCAGACAGCTAGGAATGCCAACGACATTGATCCAGTGACAGTACAGACGGAGCGGAGACGACGAATCGCGAAGGCACAAGATGAAGAACTCAGGTGGGCCGATCTGAAGGCGTACCTGAGAGGTGAATTGGAGGACCTTACACACCGTCGAGCTCAGAATGCCGGCAAAGTCGCAGAAGTCTTTGTACTCAGCGAAGACGGCCTGTTATACCGCCGAGATGAAGCCCGCCGACTAGGCGAACTCGGCGAACCGAACCTCTCATTGAGATTGGTGATTCCGTCAACCATGGTCGACGAAATACTTCATAACTGCCACAACTCGATCGAAGGAGGGCATCAAGGCATCGTCAGAACGTATCACCGAGTCAAAGCCGACTACTACTGGATTGGTCTTTACGCCGACGTGGTGAAACATGTTAGGGCCTGCGAGGACTGCAATACTAGTAAGAGCAAGCCACAGTTGAGAGGTTATTCGCCGGGAAATGTGGTGTCAGACCATCCATTCCAAGTCGTGTCAATGGATTTCGTGATTCCCTTTCCTCGAACTCAGCGGGGCAATACTGCACTGCTGCTGTTCCAGGACCACTTCACGGGGTTCGTTATCGCTAAGGCTATGAATGACACCGGAGCACTCGAAGTGGCCAAGGTATTTGAGGAATGCGTCTTCAGGCAGTTCGGGGCTCCGTCTCTGATACGGCACGACCGAGATCCAAGGTTTATGAGTGAAGTGTTCCAAAAGTTCTCCGAGATGATGCAGTCGAGATCAAGAGCTACGCTGAGTTACCGACCACAAGCTAACGGTCAACAAGAGAGGTCAGTCAAGACAATGGTTCAGACTATACGGGTCTACGTAGAAGACCCACTTCAAGCCGACTGGGATGACATCGCCGAGAAGATGGTATACGCTATCAACAACTCAAGAGATTCGACTCGGCGAGAAACCCCTTTCTATCTGGTGCATGGTTGGGACGCCAAGTCTACACTCAAGGCTATGACGAGTTCAATACGACGTGGACAGGGACGCCCAGTCAACTCGGCGGACGCAGTCGAGTGGCGCCGAGAAGCGAACAGACAACGAGAAGTGGCACTTCGATTAGCAGCTGAGTTCCAAGTGCGAGAGAAAGCACGACGAGCTCGAGAGCACAACGAAGCGTTGAGCAAGAAGGAGAAAAGATCCATTCCCAACACAGCAGATGACGAAGATGAAGTTGCAGAACCAGGCGATGAATCCACCAAATCCTTGTTCAAAGAAGGAGATCAAGTCTGGTTGTTTATGGAGCGAGTCAAGTCAGGCCTGACCAAGAAGTTAGCCCACCGATGGCATGGACCATTCAGGGTGAAGAAGAAGGTGGGAAGAATTCGCCTATGAATTGGGAGTTACCCCGACAAGAGTGGATATAGGTTCTACCCAGTGGTCCATGTATCACGTCTGAAAGGCAGTCACCGAACTCGGCGGAAGACCAAAGACGAGGCTAATCGCCGACCTCGAAGAGACTCAGCGATTTGACTTTGATGAAGAATTACTGCCTGAAGACAGCTGGGAACCAGACACAAGTACAAACCAGTATGAAGGCGAAGCAATTCTCGACGATGAGCTACCATTATCCACAAGTACGTCACGATCACAACGGAAGTTTAAAGTTAAGTGGGTCGGCTACGATGAGCCTACTTGGGAACCACTGTCGAATTTGTCATGTGGGGGTCTCCTGTTTGACTATCTACGACAGAAGAAGCGCGAAAACCGTCTGCAAATGGTGCAAGTTGCAGATGAGGATTAACAGCTATTGCACCAAAAGTTACACCAACTCAGCGGACGACACAGGCCGAGTTGAGATGGAATGCTACTGTGTCGAAACTACATATACTGAATAATTACGAAATGAAGTCCTGAACGATACCTATGGGACGCCCAGTCAAAGGAAGAAAACTAAAAAAAAGTCGGCGATCCGGATTCCAAGTGAGTTGAACCCGACGGAGACAACTGGGAAGAGCTCAGCGGACTCGACGATTGGGGGCGTGGCGTCGTAGCAGACGTCATCCCTTGGGAACTTGCGGAAGGAGATGCAACATTCGCAGCCGTGGCAAGAAGTATCATCGCCGAGCTAGCCAACGAAGCTGACGCCGAACCAGGTGCCTCAGGACCCGACGCGGCGGAAGTGGGCTGCGGATCCGTCCCACTGGGGAGTGGGGTGCCGAACGGAGACATACTCGGAGACGCGCCTCGGAGATTGGGAGAACCCAACCCATCGTCCGCCGAGTCGTCATCAGACGCACTCTCGCCATCTGAGCCGAGCTCACCGATCGAAGACCCAGTGAAGATATGGATGCCTTGACGATTCAGCCGAGTTGGAGCACCCGGGGCATAGGCAGGAGGCGCTTGTTCAGCAAGATCGAAATCTTCTTCAATCGCGTCGTCAACAACCTGAGGATCCATACCGCGCGGAGCGAAAACCAAGAAGTCCACGCTCCGAGCGCGGAAGCAAGTATTGTACGGATGGACCGCCGGGTCAGTAAGCCACCAAGCTCGCCAGGGCTCGGCTAGATCCACATCGTGAGCACACTGGACCCAGTCTCTCCCGGAAGGAACCCACGAAAGGTTAACGGGAGAGAAATGGGGAACGGACGGATCAAAATAAACCTCTGCGTCCACCAGTGGAGCAGGTTCATCGCCGAGCTTCTGAGTGACCGCCGAGTAAAGCTGGTCGTAGACAGCAACAACCAAAGATCGCAAGGTGTCACTACGACGTTTGCGCTCGCGCTTGTACACCAGCCACAGTTCGTATACCTCAGCAAGCTGGGCGGGCGTGGCAGCCGGGTTGACGTCAGGATGGAGACCCATTAACACACTCGACTCGACAATCCAATGACGACGCTCATAGAGAGCTACGAAGTAACGAGTCATTTGGCCATCTGTCTGGATGGGCCTCCCCGCCGAGTCCAAGGGACTGTCGCCACGAAGCTTCACCCACATATCTCCAAGAACTTGCATCAAAGTTCGAGGCCGGGTTTGAGAAGCCAAACATCGCCGAGCTTCCTCCATTATCGACGGAGAAAAGAAGAAAGGAAGCTCAGGAAGCATCCGCCGAAGACGCTGACAGAGATGGCTCGGGTCGAAAACGGCCATGAAAGCTCGAATGCCGTCAAGAGAACACGGCGTAGGTGGAACACGGCGTAGGTGGAACACGACTCTTGCCCCCTACGAGCTCCATCTGCACCCCTCCGCTCAGTGTATCCAATAATGCATTCCAACAACGAGTTGAGCCGAAATGCATGAATGGTACCTCGCGGAGTTGAGCCATGTGAAGAGTCAGGCGACAATCCTTGGACACCGCTTGCGAGGCCCCAGTCCGAAACGTCGCCAGCGGGAGTGTAAGAGCGCTGGGAAGTGCGACCACAGCCGGACGTGAAGCAGTCGAACTCGGCTGAGAGAGAATCGATATAACCGGGAGCCTACTCGGCGAAGGAGCAGCCGGAATGGACTGAGTCGGAGCTGGATCAGGAGTCGACGGAAGCTGCCGAGGCTTGTGGTGTCGGTGCGTCTTGTGATGCTTCTTGTGCTTCTTGTGCTTCTTGGATCGCTTCGACCGATGACCGGTAGGACTCGACGAGGCACGACGTTTGCGATGCTGCTGCTTCCCCGAAGCCGGCGCAGAGGCAGAACTCGTCCCGTCACCAGAATCCTTCGATGAAGGCCGCGAGGAGTGGCGATCACTCGGCGGCAAGGACTCATCGTTCATCTCGTCGTCAGAACCGAAGATCGCCGCATGAAGACTTCTCGCTTGGACAGAACGACGAGCATCTGCGGTCGCTGAGTCGGAGCCTGAAGGACTGCCAGCCGAGTTCTCTGATAAGGAAATGGGATCCAAGAGCGACCCAGCGGCAGGATTCGTCGAGCCGGTGGACGGTACAGAACCATCACCAGGCCCTAACACCTCGTCGTCAGACGCGTCGAGATCCTCAAGCAGCTGAGCAGTCACAGTGCGGGCGGTCGCAGCAGATCTCCGGATAGGGCGCCCAGATGGGGACGTCAACACGGCCGTGGTCACAGGGAGAGACGGTCTGAGGACACTCACGGCCGGAGTCACTAAGTCAGTCGGCGTGGTGGATACGCTCAGACCCCGAGAGGGCGACTGGGAGCGTCCAACCACCGTTAGCACGACGCTGAGTGGTGCGCTCGACTGGGGCAACCCAGCGGAGATGGGCGAAGTCGAGCCTGGGGCACACACGCTCGTAGCCGGGACAGGCAGTGAAGCCACGACATCGGATGAAGATATCGGCGGTGGGCGAGTAGCCGCGACTGACGAAGTCACCGGAGGACCAGAAGACGAAGAACCCGCCGAAGTCGTCGAAGCAACGGCAGGAACGGTGTCGGCGGGCGGCTCAGGCAACTCAAACTCAAACTCAGCTTCGCTCGAAGCGTCATCGTCGTCTTCAGAGCGAGCAGAGACAGCGGGCTGAG